CTGCTTTACTCAAACATAATGCAAAAGAAGTGGAATTTCTTGCATAATTATTAAAAAGAATTACTAATTATAATTCTCCCGCCAAATGGGACAGAAATAGACTTGAGCGCGAATGACAAAAGTTTTTTTAGAACAAATTCAAGGTCACCATTACGACAAGCGAAATAAAAAGGGCTTGCTTCACCAATTGTATACTCTTTGGAAGCCTGCTTTACTTTGCGGCGAAGTAATTCGTTAAATGGACTTGGTGTACTAGAGGAATTACTCATCTAAAACCTTCATGAGTTAATAGACCGTGAGCATAATATAAAAAAACAGCTTAATTCAACGCGGTCTTCCGGTTTTTTTGAAACAGAAAGAGTTACAGTCTGTGCAGAAATGAAAGCAAGTGGTTTCGGTAAAATGAATAACTTTCGATAGGAACGTATTAAAACTCGACTATGAAATAACTATCCGGTGCTGCAGATATGACTTTCAAATAACACAATTTTAAGGATCCTAACTCATAAGAAAGTAAGAAATATTCGAAACTACCGCAGCTTAATTTTCATCGAATTTTACTGAACAAGTTACTCGTATTTAAAGTTTATCGGGCAGGAACCATCAGTCTGTTGCATCTAATGCTTCTTTCTACTTATACTCCACCTCTAGATTCTATTAGAATCTAGAGGTGATGACTAGAGGTACTAATGATTAGTAGGACCCCACATTCCATCACACCGGCATGGGGTCCGTTTATTAGTCTTGCGAAGCCCGTTTCGATGGGAGCCCGGAAAAACTTTCTTTTCAGAGAATTAGAAGGGAAATATTTTCGGAGAGTTATCGCACACTCCGGCCCACCGTTCGATCGGGAGTCTGGAGGAAAAAAAATAGCCCACTCTAGAGTCCGGTCATAGTGTGATGAAATGCTGTGTTGAAATGCGACCTGTGATGAAACGAGGAGTCCCCTTATTACTTCATTGCTTCGGTAGCATCAAACAAATCATCGGCGAAATTAAACTCAGGCGAGCGGTAGTCGAACAGCTTTTAGGCGGCGATTGCCAATATTTGTCTTCTGTGGCATTATCCAAGCACAAAAAAAGCAGCTAGCATTATTCGATGCATCTAGATTTAATAGATACAATGACAGATGCAGCTAGCTGCAAAAGAAAAAGAGAAAAGCTGAATCGAGCATCGTTCGGTGCAGCTAGATGTGGATGATGAACTGCTAGATGCATCGACCAGAAAACGATGGAGATTTTTGAAGAATGAAAAATAACTGAGCATCTAGTGGCAGTCGGTGCAGCTCGCTTCATTTGACAGATGTGCTAGTAGATCTAGCTAGATGTATGAAGCTAACCGCATCGACTTCCACTAGATGCTCAGTTATTTTTTATTCTTCAAAAATCTCCATCGTTACACACTAGTAGATTATGGCCGTAAATTTGTTTCCAAAAGAAATACGAAAATGGAGTCAAAAGAAGGTCGAAAATCCCTTTCAGTGATCGAATTACCGTTAGGTAATCGTTACCGCATATAATGATAACATCATGCTTGGACTCGTGTAGAATGTGCATCTGAGAGATACTGACGCTCAAATCATTCAGATTAATATCGACGGTTTTTCCGTTGGATTCTCGAGTAGGGATTTTTAATACACACATTTTTCTTTTACAATATATGCGATGTAGATTTTGAATCGTATGCGGGATGGCATCGTCGCGCTTTTTTAACGCTGACGTCCTGTCAAAGTTATTCAGCTTGATGAAAGTGGCTGAATTGACTGGTAGTGCAAGCTTCTTGCTCAGCTAGAAAAATGTCACCAGGGGGAAAATGCAATCTTCAGCAGATTTCCCTAAGTTATCGAACGTTTCCTGACGCTACTATTCTTATGCAAAACGTCGATTTTGATCTCAAATGACAGAGCGCGTTGAGATCCTTGAACGTCGATCAAGAAAAAAAAATTGCGTGTCGATCTTGATAAAAAAACGTTTCTGAAAAACCGAATTATCTAGGAAACCCAAGGTTTTAAAGTTCATTCAGAAATTTTTTCAACTACTTCACTTTCGAGCTTCTCAGTTCGGTACATGATGAGATGTGAGCCAAGTTTCTGTGATGTTGCAAGACCGAGTTACAGGCTTTGTAGCGCAACTGCATAAAGTCATTTAGCATTTAACGTAACTGCTGAATTTTCTGTTTCCGTCATATTTTTTACAGTACGTTTTCGTAGAACAGCATACTGCCTTAATGACATCTCTTTTTGTAGAGAATTGACCGAATGATGCAATTGTATGGCTGTAAGACACGTTTCGCAGAACTTTCGCAAGTTGACTGACGACGGTGCATGAATGACTTTTGCTCATTGGTGCTGGTGCACTACGCGGAAGAGATCGGGGAAAAACATGCAATTTTCGGTCGACCTAGGAAACTAAAATGTTTAAAACTTTTTCTGCTGTATGTGGAAATCCAGACTAAGGGACCTACAGCGTCGGAGGGCTCCTTGAAGACCGGTGTCCGCTGCTGTGGCTGTGAATTTTTCGGATGGCAACTCGTTGCTCGCAGACACAGTTCTAGACGGGCTGCAGACTGAGTAGCTCTTGATCATGCGATCATTTGAAGTCCTGAAAATTCTGTGGAGCATATGAGAGTGTGCCAGGAGGATCTTCACATGTGTGCTAAAAGGATCACTTACTTTGACTTCATATCCCCATAAAATAAGAGCAGGACAATTCATCTGTCTTAGCTGATTGTAATATATTTCTAACTTCTGATAATCGTATTGTAATAATGATGATAAGATTATAACAAAACAGCAATAAAAAATAGTTACGATGATTCGACTGTTTTTCAGTCCATCATCATACACCTTTTCGATGTTCTATAATTAATCGTCTTCTTATGTCTAAAAATCCATTTAAAAATGGACGTGGTCCATTAACTTTTTTAACGGTTAACGAATCGATCACTGAATAAAATTGCTCGCAAGTTTCAGATATAAGTGCTTCGTACTGTCTCTGACGCAACTTCTGTATCAATTCTGTGTCACATTCTTCGTCGGCTGCACAGGATGAAAAAAAACTATTAGATTATGTGGAAGAGCATTTGTTGTTGCTTTATCAGGTGGTGCTAACAAACATAGAGTTTGAACATATTGTGGATATTTTACAGCAAACAAAGACACGATAGCACCGCCCAACGACGCACCAATGAGGCAAAAATGATGTAAGTTCTAGACCGTCGAAAAACTGTCAAATTGTACATATTACCTATCTTAATGCGATACGTTTTTTGTGTCTGCAACTTACGATTTTCAGCTTTTCAATAAATTTGTCAATTGTATAAAATTCTTCATCTAATCCAATCGTTTCGCCATGTCCAGGCAAATCAACAGTTACGCAATGATATTCATCGGGTATGTTCGGTGAGACAAAGGAGAACGAAGTTTGATCGAACAGCGCTCCTAAATTTGAAACGCCGCTCAAACGGTTTATACTATTCAGATTCTGCTACCGAAAATTCCGCTTTTAGAATTTTCGAAGAGATCTAAAAAACTTTTGCAAAAATGAACAAATGTTTTAGAGTACTGCTTCCTTGAGTATGTCTGGAAGTTTCGTAGCTTGAAAGTTATTGTCGAAGAAGGTTCTAGTTTGTACATGACCTCATCAATTGAAAATTTCGAATTAAATTATATGTACAGCACAAAAGTACATTCCACTTTGTTCTTTATTATCGGAAAAATCTTTTCTTTTGACAATGGAGAGAATTAGGCTTAAATATACAGATCAAAACGAAAAAAGTCTAACCAACAAGCCCGTATTGCCATCTGCTGCGTAATCATCCTACTGCCTCTAGAAATGAATTTATTACTAGAATTATAATATCTTTGACAAGATTTCCGTTTGTCCTTATATACCTAAAAGTAGGTGTCCTTCACTCTGTGCAGTTTTTCAATATAGTTATTTCACTTTGGGATATGCAAGCTTCTATTATTTCAATCGCTATCTGCTGCGAAAATTCTTACTTTCATAATCGGTAACCAAGTTTCCTTATTGGACGATAATCCATGTACAAACACTAAACTTGGTTGTCCTTCGATTTTATTCCTTCTGCCACTATAACTGAATTTTGCTTTACGTTCCTTTTCATCGCCGCCAACATTGACTACAGTAAATGATTCGTTAGACCAGCGAAATATCCATTGAACCTGAAGTTGTATTAATTGGAGATAACAATTTTCTGCGCTTTTTCTACCTTACTTGGAATATAGCATTAATTAATGAATTAAGAGTTTACTGGCAGTTCAGAACAAAAATGAAACCGAAATCACAGTCATTGTTTCAGGTTATACGTCCATTGCAATATGAGAAATAAAGAAGTAACAGGAAAACAATATCGTTCTTTTGCTGTATTTTACAGAAGTAAAGTTGAAATCTTATAGCTTTATGTTTAAGTTACATTGTCTTTCTTTTTTTCTTTCCTCTGTTCTAGAAATATGTATATAGTGTCATGCAGCATAGACTTGAAATGTAGAAGCAGTTCAGTGGTGGAAAAAACTTGAATAGAAACAGTAATCAGCCAGCAGAAGAAAACAGCAGATATGTGTTAAACCATTTGTGTAATAATTTCACAATATTTGCAGAAAAATGACGTTTTGTCGTTTTTATGACTGAACATTTGTATGGAATTGCAGTTGCAGTATAGTAATATGTTTAACCAACGTCTAAATAGAAAATTTGTTTAGATTTTGTAGTAAAGAGCAAAGAAACCTTGACTTAGCTGTAAGTAACCTTCTATTTAGCAATCTTCAGAGGGAGTTCTACAAAATCTGCTTCGCGGATGTAATATTCACACAAACATTCCTATAATTTTGCTGTTAATTATTTGACGAAGAATAATGTAAAGAGGTAGCTTACATATGTTCAAACATAGTCTCCGTGTCCTAATCGAAAATATAGTCATTTATCTAATATACTGATGAATTTAATTGTGTTTGATTCTCGATGTAATTCTAGAAACACAAAATGCCTAATCCTTTAGACTTCGACTTTATTTCGCCCGCTGATAAGCTGGAAATGAAAGGAAAAAATTGGCATATAGAAAACCCGCGAGCAGTTATGCTGCTGGTTTACGGTTATGGCGAACACTGTGGTCGTTACCATCATGCTGCTGACTTTTTTAATCAACAGCAGTTAGCCTTTATTTCATTTGATATTCATGGTCACGGACTGTCCAGCGGTGAACTTGATTATACACGGCATGTGAATGATTTATTTGATGATCTTGAATATATGGTTGAAAAAATTCATCATGCATTCCATCCTGATGTACCATTAATAATTTATGGTCATGTAACAGGATCGGCTCTCTGCTTCGTTCATCTTATTCGTCGTCCACAACCAGGTTCACAAGCAATGATCTTATAAAAACCGTCAGCTCTTTTAAAAACACGTCCAAATCATGTACATGTATTTGTAGCACGTGCTGCTTGTGGTTTAACTCCTCATTTACGAGCACCAGTTCAGGGAAATTATGAGCATACTTATTCAAATGATCCACACGTAGTCGAAGCCTACCGCAAAGACCCATTGGTACATGATCGTTGGCCGGCTAGTACAATGTTTATGCTTTAGAAATGGATTTGCTTTGTGAAAAAAACACAAGGTCTTGGTAAAATGTAATACAGGACGCCGACCAGTGTACTTTGGTCTAATTTCTGTTGTAGGTGTTAAGGGAAGTCGTGAAAATTCACCGATAACTGGATTGAACAGAAAACTAAGTATAGTATTGTTTAATCTGACTGAGGACAAGCATAACATTATGTTGCCTTGCGCCATTTTTTTTGTAAGCAAAGAATAATAGCTGTCTCTCTCTTTCATTCCCTGTTAGTCAAACGTCGCTCTCAGATTTTGATTGTATACTTTTAGGGAAGCTGTCAAAATTCGCATCGGTGAATTTATATTCACCAGTAATTGAACTGGAAAGCAAATTGAGTATAGTATTGTTTAATCTGCCTGAGGAAAGAATATGGAACTGTCGTATAACAGAAAGAGCATATATGTATATATTCTTTTCTGTACTATACTTGACTTAATTGATTTGTATACTCAACCGGTATTATTTTATGTTACGAAATTGTTTTAAGCAGGATCTATTGTTAAACGCAGAATACAGAAAAACTTTACATCGTTCCCAAATGAAGTTTGACGGAGAAATTTAACTTTCACCTTCCCGAGGAAATTTTAGGGCTAAAGTATTTTGAAAAAAGCCTTACGGCTAGTTTCGCTCGAAGCAAGCATTTTGAAACAAAACTCTGGATACAAAAGTTGTTCAGAATCAAATTCTGCAGTCCCTCACGAGAGCTTTTTTTAAAATTT